CCTCTCTCTCTCTTTGCCTCTGGCTCTCTGTAACTCTGCCTTTCAAATAAATAAATAAATAAATAAATCTTAAAAAAAAACCCTGATACATACAAATGGTCAACAAGGAAAATGAAATGATGTGGGCAGGCATTGCTAAGCCACTGCCTATGATACCGCATCCCCATATCACAGCACTGATTTGAGTCCTGGCTGCTCAGCTTCCGATCCAGCTCCCTGCTAATGTGCCTGAAAAGCACATTGGAAAATGGCCCAAGTGTTTCACATGGGAGACTCAGATGGGGTTCCTGGCTCCTGCCTGGCCCAGCCCAGCCTCAGCCCTTGGGGCCACTTGGGGAGTGAATCAACAGATGCAAGAAACCTCTCTCTCTCTCTCTCTCTCTCTCTCAGTCTCGATCTTGATCTCCCTTTCACATAAATAAAATAAATCTTAAAAAAGAAAAGATGTAAAGATGTTCTACACCACTGGTCATTAGGGAAATGCAAATAAAAGTCACAGCACACTACCATCTCTCATCTGTTGGGATGCCGGTACAGAAAACCCCCGAGGAAAGCAAGTGTTGGCAGGGCTGTGGAGAGGGGGAATGTTTGGACACTGTTGCTAGGAACATTAGTTGGCACCGCTAATATGGAAAACAGTGCGAAGGCTCCCTCAGAAGTAAAAGAGGAGTGCCGCATGACCCAGCCACCCTGCGTTTCGGATGCATGTGCAGAGGAAGTAAAACACCACCTGGATGAGGTATCTGCAGTCCCAGGTTCATTGAGCTGTTAGTCACCATTGCCCAGCCAGAACAATTAGAGAAGAAAAAGAAACTAAAGGACCCCAGCTGGAAAGGAAGACGTGAAATTATGTTTGCATTAGGTGTGATCATATACTCAAAAAATTTTTTTAATAAAAGATTTACTTGCTTATTTGAAAAAGAGAGAGAGAGAAAGAGAGGGAGAGGGAGAGAGAGAGAATCTTCCATCTGCTGGTTCACTCCCCAAATGTCTACAACAGCCAGATCTAGGCCAGGCCAAAGCCAGGGGCCAGGAACTCCGTCTAGATCTCCCGCGTGGATGCAGGGGCCCAAGCACTTGGACCATCTTCCACTGCTTTCCCAAGACCCTTATTAGCAGGAAGCTGGATTAGAAGTGGAGCAGCTGGGATTCCAACCAGTGCTCTTAACCCACTTTATCCACTGCACCACAACACCTGCTACACAAAAAACTGTGAAGCCTCAACAAAAGTACTAGATAGGCTCAGGGCCAGCGCTGTGGTGCAGTGGGTTAAAGCCCTGGCCTGCAGTGCTGGCATCCCATATGGGCGATGGTTCTAGTACCAGCTGCTCCTCTTCCGATCCAGCTCTCTGCTGTGGCCTGGGAAAGCATAGAGGATGGCCAAGTGCCTGGGTCCCTGCACCCATATGGGAGACCCAGGAGAAGCTCCTGGCTCCTGGCTTTGGATCAGTGCAGCTCTGAAACATTGTGGCCATCTGGGGAGTGAACCAGCAGTGGAAGACCTCTATCTCTACCTCTCTCTAACTCTGTCTTAAAAATAAATAAATCTTAAAAAAAGAACTAGATAGGTTCAGTAATATTGGAGGGCACAAAGTCAACATATGAAAAGCAATCATGGGGACAGCACCATGGCTCAGTGGGTAAAGCAGATGCCTGCAGTGTGGCATGCCCTATGGGCACTTTTTTTTGAGTCCTGGCTGCTCCACTTCTGATTCAGCTTCCTGATAATGTGCCTGGGAAAGCAGTTGAGGATTACCCAAAGTGTTTGATCCCCATACCCACCTGGGGTAACCTGAAGGAAGCCTGGCTCCTGGCTGCCCAGCTCCAGCCATTGTGGCCATTTGAGGGGTGAACCAGTAGATAGAAGATCTCTCTATCTCTGTCTCTTTTTCTCTCTCTGTAACTCTGCCCTTCAAATAAATAAATATGAAAAAGCTATCATATTTATACACACAACAATGAACTGTCCAAAAAGTAAATTAAGAGAATCTCACTCAAAAGTGTCATTGAAAAGAATAAAATTCTTTTTTTAAGATTTCCTTATTTATTTAAAGTCAGAGTTACAGAGAGAAGGAGAGGCAGAGAGAGAGAGAGAGAGAGAGAGAGATGTCTTCCACCCACTGGTTCAAGCCCCAGATGACTCCAATGGCCAGAGATGTGCCAATTCGAAACCAGGAGCCAGGGAGCTTCTTCCAGGATCTCCTACATGGGTGTAGGGGCCGCAGGACTTGGGCCATCTCCTGCTGCTTTCCCAGCAGAAAGCTGGCTCAGAAGTGGAGCAGCCAGGACTCGAACCGGCATCCATATGGGATGCCCGCACTGCAGGCAGTAGCTTTACCCACCATGCCACAGCACCAGCCCCAAATAAAATTCTTAAGAATAAGCTTAACCACAGAGATGAAGAGTTTCACATGGATAACTACAAGTCAGAAACAAAAGAAAGAAGATCTAAGCAGAAAGAAAATAACCCCAAGATCAAGGATTGAAAGGCTATTAAGGGGACACTATTACCTGTTCCTAACTCCCAGCACTTGTGAAGGTGGCATCATTTGGAAATAGTCTTTGTGCATATAATTAAGATCAGGTCATAGTTGATTGTGATGGCCCATAATATGATAGGACTGGTGTCTTTCTTTTTTGACAGGCAGAGTTAGTGAAAGAGACAGAGAGAAAGGTCTTCCATCCATTGGTCCACCCCCCAAATGGCCTCTATGGCCAGCATGCTGTGCCAATCCAAAGCCAGGAGCCAGGTGCTTCCCCTGGTCTCCCATGTGGGTGCAGGGCCCAAGCACTTGGGCCATCCTCCACTGTGTTCCCGGGCCACAGCAGAGAGCTGGACTGGAAGAAGAGCTCCCCGACAGAACCAGTGCCCCAACCGGGACTAGAACCCAGAGTACTGGTGCCGCAAGGTGGAGGATTAGCCTAGTGAGCTGCAGTGCCAGGCCTGGACTGGTGCCTTTTAATAAATTTATTTATTTAAGGAATTTATTTGAAGGAGAGAGAGAGAGAGAAATAGAATGGAGGGAGAGGGAGAGAGAAAGGGAGGGGGGGAGGCAGAGGGAGCTCTCCCCACCATGGTTCCCCCCTCAGATGCCCACAGTGCTGAGGCTGGACCAGGCTGAAGTCAGGAACCAGGAGCTCCATCCAGGTCTTCCACAGGGGCAGCAGGGACGGAAGCACTCGAGCCATCGCCTGCTCCCTTCCTAGGACGTGCGTATGCAGAAAGCTGGGTTGGAGGCAGAGGGGAAACTCGAACCCGTGCACTCTGAGGGGATGTGGGTGACCCGAGGTGGGGACTCAGCCCCTGCACCCCACAGCCCACCCATCCAAGCGCGAGTTCAGAACACACGTGTCCCCTCGGCTTTGGGGAGCACACCTGCATTTTCCAGGGTCGGCCCTGTGTCTCAGATTCAGTCTCTGGCTTTGAACTTGGACCTCTTCCTTGGAGTTTCTCCTCAAGCCCTGAGCCAGGGACTTTACCTCCTGGAGGGCAGGCGACACCTGCACAGCAGGTGCGTGGAGGGCAACATTCTTTTTCCACCACGATGCCAGAAAAAGCCCCTCTGCTGTTTCCTGGTGAGCGCGAGAGCCCGCACTGCTGAGGGTGTCCTCTGTCTGCTTCCCTCTCAGAGAAGCCAGCATTAGTCTTCTGCCCATGGCTGCTTTGGAGCCAAGAGTCCTTCACGTCCTGGCCATCACCACTGCCTGCAGGGGTCTTCCTGCCTCTCACTCCCACCATGGATTTCCCAAGGCCATGCTCCTCATTGGAAATCATGGAAAAGGAGTTTTATTAACCATGTATTTATTTATTATTTGAAAGGCAGAGACAGAAATAGAGATAGAGAGAGAGAGGTCTTCCATCTGCTGGTGCACTCCCCAAATGGCCGCAACTGCCGGGACTGGGCTGGCCCAAAGCCAGGAGCCAATAGCTTCTTCCAGGTCTCCCATGTGGATGCAGGGGCCCCAGGACTTGAGCCATCCTCTGCTGCTTTCCCAGGCACATTAGTAGGGAGCTGGATCAGAAGAGGAGCAGCTGGGTTTCAGGCCAGCACCCGTAGGGGATGCTGGCCCTGCAGGCAGAGGCTTAACCTACTATGCCACAGTGCTGGCCCTGGAAAAGTGTCTTGTAACCACCTCCTGGTGTTTTGATAACTGGGCACTCAGGCAAATTGGCCATCACCAGGGCTCAGGGCTCAGGTCCTCATGTATCTGCCTCCCTGTTTCCTTATTATCATGTTACAATGGTTTATTTGACAGGGAAAGGGGTAGAACTGGAGAGACATATCTTCTATCTGCTGGTTTGTTCCCCAAATGGCTGCAACAGCCAGGGCTGGACCAGGTCAAAGCCAGGAGGAGGAAACTCCATCCAGATCTCCCACGTGGCTGGCAGGGACCCAAGTACCTGTGCCATCATCTGCTGCCTCCCAGTAAAGCTGGATTGGAATCACAGAGCGGCCAGGACTTGAACCAGGCACTCAGACATGGAATGTGACATCCCAAGTGACAGCTTAGCCTGCTGTGCCAGTTTTGGGGTGACACAGTTCAGTCCTAAGAGGACCAAGGGGAACCTGCTCTGTGGGCTGGAGAGTGGGCAGGGCTAGGAGTCTGGGTTCCCCTGGGGTCTCCTTCTCAAGACTCCAGTCACTCTACTTCAATCTTAGGAGGGACAGGAGCTGGGCTGAAGGCATGCCTAGGGCGAGGAAGGGATCAGAACACCCTATACTCTCCAGGGCCTGTGAAGTTAAATGCACAGAACCGCTGGTCCAAGTGAGAGAGAAAAAGTGCATTCACTCTTCTGCACGGAGAGTGGCAGGACCTGCAGATACTTCCTGGAAAGGGCTGTTTCTGGCTTTGTGGCCCAGATGGTCTCTGCCACTACTCAACTGTGTCCTTGGAGCGAGAAAAGAAGCCACAGACAGGGGCTGGTGTTGGGGCACGGTGGGGGAGGCTGCCACCTGTGGTGCCTGCATCCCATATGGACACAGGTTTGTAGTGTCCCAGCTGCTCCTCTTCCAATCCAGCTCCCTGCTGTGGCCTGGGAAAGCAGCAGAAGATGGCCCAAGTCCTTGGACCCCTGCACCCACATGGGAGACTGGGATGGAGTTCTTGGCTCCTGGCTTCAGGGGCTGTTGTGGTCTTCTAGGGGAGTGAACCAATAGATGGCGGATTCTCTCTCTCTCTCTCTCTCTCTCTCTTTCTCTCTTTCTCTCTCTCAACTCTGCCTTTCAAAATAAATAAATACATAAAATCTTAAAAGGTCACAGACAACAGGTGTGTACTGAGCAGGTGCTGTCAGCAGCCTGAGGCTGTGTCTTCTCTTTCCAGTTCGCTGGGCATTTAAAGTGGGACAGGAAAAGTTATTTCTGAGGGCCCCAGTTCCCTCCGAGGGGGAAGCTGAGGTCACTCCCAGGAGGGACCCGAGCCCACCGGCTGCCGTCCTGGGCCCCGGCCTGGGAGTCTCCAGCAGGTGCTTCCTCCCTCAGAGGCTGCCACGGAGCAAGACCAGAGCCACAAAGGCTGTTCCTGTAACTGACGCTGCAAACCCATGAAAGCCTGGGATGGTAGTGACCAGGGACCGGGGCGTGTAGGGTCCCACCCCTTGGAGCAGGGAGGGAGCTGCCGGCTCAGAGTGAAGACCCCAGGAGTGGAGGTCATGGGAGATTGTGCTGTGTGGCTAGGAACCATGTCCCGGATTCCAGTGTGGCTCCTGCTACTTGCCCAGTGCGCAGGTGAGGGAACTGGGAACCCCCGGAGCCCAAGCCCCCTGCCCCTGCGCGCCTCTTGCCCTGCCCCATGTGCTGAATTTGGCCCCCAGGTGGTGGCCCTCAGCCGGCCTTGCACCAGCCGCCGACCGCGTCTTCGGCCCTGGGGACCACGGTCCGTCTCGCCTGCACCCTGAGCCGCGACCACAGCGTGGGACTACACAGCATCTACTGGTATCAGCAGAGGCCAGGCCACCCGCCCAGGTTCCTGCTGCGGTACTTCTCGCACTCCAACCAGCTCCACGGCCCCGGGATCCCTCCTCGCTTCTCCGGATCCAAGGACGTGGCCCGGAACAGCGGCTACCTGATCATCTCGGAGCTGCGGCCGGAGGATGAGGCTGTGTATTATTGCGCCATGGGCAGCCTGGAGGAGGAGATGGAGAGGAAGAGGGGGGAGGAAGAGGAGCCTGCGGCCTCAGGGTCCCAGGTGCCCAAGAACAGCGCGCCCTGAGGCGGAGACACCAGGATCGGCACCCCCTTAACTTGGAGAGAGGCCGGCGTGGGGGGAAGGAGGTGCCCCCTGCTGGCCCCAGGAGTCCCCAGGCCGCCGCGGAGTGTCTCCTGGCACAGGCGGTGTTGCTGGAAGCCCCCTGGGTTGGAGGCTGGGGTAAGGGATTAAAGTTCCTGTGTCTTGAGAAGTCTCGGTGCTGTGTTTTGCTGGGCACTGGAGAGGTCAGGATGGGCGGGGCGCAGTTGCGAGCCAGGATCCCAGAGAGCTTGGCCATTACTGCTGGCTTGGCTGGGCAATGTGGCCAGGGGCTCACCCCAGATCACGGCGCTGGGGTGGGGGAACAGTTGACCAAAGCACCCTGCGTTCTTGGTGAGGGTGGGAAAGGGACATCTTTGCCAAGGGCGTGCCTTTCTGTAGGCATCAGCTGACTCATCAGCTGAGTTTACAGGGCTAATGAGCGTAGGGACACCTTCCCTGGGTCTCTGGGGGAGGTGACCTGGGGGTAGGGAGCTCCGCCTTGGTTCTATTGAGATTCTGGGCTAAATAGTTCTCAGCTGTGGGGCTGTCCTGTGCATTGCAGGATTGGCCTCTGCCCACCAGCTGTGTCACTCCTCGGACTGTGCCAATCCCACGGGTCTCTAGACATCACCAAGTGTCGCCAGGTGTGGCAGAGTCTCCCCAGCTGAGAAGCACCATCTAAGGAGAGCAGTGCCTTCACTCTCGGGCACAGAGCCAGGATTTGTTTGTTTGTTTTTTCCTGGAAAGGGCCAGGGAGTGAGTATTTTTGACCCTGTGGGCCGTTGCAGATGCTCAATGCTCAGTCGCAGCCAGAGATCATGGGAGCCCGCGCCGGTGCCTGTGCTCCTCAGATCTCATTTACAGAGCCAGGTGGGGCTGCCGGAGGTGTGGCCACTGGGGCCATAGTGGGCCACCCCTGCTCTGGAGGACCCCCCACCCCCAGGTCCCGCCTCCAAAGGCTTCAACCAAGCCTTTGCTTCCTGGGATCATCAGGGTCCCCTTCAGCTCCTCCTGTGACCCCAACTTGGGTGAGAACGTCCACTAGGATGGTAAAAAAGACCCCGAGAGCCCCTCCTCCTCTCCAACCAGAGACGGACACATGTCAATACTGGCTGGTCCCCACGTGCTGCTGGCCTGCCTGTGGTCAAACTGCTGTCAGCTCACAGCAGGCCCCAGGGACCCTGTGTTCTTTCACTTCCTCGAATGCACAGAAGTTTCAGGCTCCCCCTGCCCCTGGCCCCACCCCCAAGGTCAGCCACGTGGCCTCCAGAAAAACACCATCTTCTGCCTGTCACCCCCCCCCATACTCTGTGACTCCGGGATTCTGTGCTAGCACAACAAATCCAGGAAGAGTGTCCTGGGCTCCATTATCCTCCATGAGGGTTCGACCTTGGACTTGGGCTTTTGTTCAGCTACAGGGAGGGGCTTAGCTCTGTTGGCCTTGGAGGTTTCACCAGGTAGCATGTAGATACGTAGACTAGCGTGGATTCATTTTACGCGAAGCATTTAGCCCCGGGGTTGACTGTCACAGGCACTCCACAAAACGCCACTGTCACCCTTTCCTTGCCAATCACCAGCCTGTCTTTTCCTTCCAGCTGAGTCAGGTCCAGCCTCAGCCATTATCAGGCCTCGGGCTGCAGCCTGTGCCCTGCACACCTCACTGTCACTGCTCCCAGATCCAGCCTTGCCTGCATTCCACCTCTCTAACCCTTCATTCTTTTCCACACCTTCAGGTACATAGGCAAGATACATCTGTAGTTTCCAATTTTTATAGTGACCATATTTTTTAAAACAATTTAAAAGAAAGAGATGGGGGTCGGCATGGGAGACCTGGAGAAAGCTCCTGGCTCCTGGATTTGGCCTGGCCCAGCTCTGGCTGTTGTGGCCATTTGGGGAGTGAACCAATGGATGGAAGAACTCTCTCTCTGCCTCTGCCTCTCCCTCTCTATAACTTCACTTTTCAAATAAGTAAATAAACCTTTTTTAAAAAAATAAATGATTTTAATATGTTTTTAAAAAAGATTAATTATTTGAAGGGGGGGTAGAGAGAGAGAGGTTAGTCTTCTTTTCACTGTTCACTCCCCAAATGGCTGCAATGGCTGGAAGCAGGCCCATCTGAATCCAGAATCCAGGAGCTTCTTCTGGGCCTCCCACACAGGTACAGGGGCCCAAGGACTTGGGCCATCTTCTACTGCTTTCCCAGGCCATAGCAGAGAGCTGGATCAGAAGTGGAGCAGCTGGGACTCAAATCAGTGCCCATATGGGGTGCTGGCACTGAAGGCGGTGGTTTTACTTGATATGCCACAGCGCCAACCCCCATAATATATTCCTATTAACAGAAATACCCCAAACATTATTCTTCAACCTATAATCAACATAAAAATTGGGCATGAGATTGTTGACTATTTTGGTGCCCACTCTTCAAAATCCATTGTGTATTTTGCACTTGTCACTCATCTTTTTTTAAAAAAATTTATTTTTGTGAACTGAAATTGATCACTTGGACTAGTGAGATGGCATTGGTACATGCCACCTTGATGGGATTGTATTGGAATCCCCTGACACGTTTCTAACTCCACCATTTGGGGCAAGTCAGCTTGAGCGTGTCCCAAATTGTACCTCTCCTCCCTCTCTTATTCCCACTCTTATATTTAACAGAGATCACTTTTCAGTTAACTTTAAACACCTAAGAATAAGTGTGTGTTGATTGCAAAGTTAAACCAATAGTATGAAGTAGAACAAAAAAATACTAAAAGGGATAAAGTATTAAGTTGTACATCAACAGCCATGACAATGGCTGATCAAGTCACCGTTTCCCATAGTGTCTATTTCACTTCAACAGGTTTCCTTCTTGGTGTTCAGTCAGTTGTCACCGATCAGGGAGAACATATGGTATTTGTCCCTTTGGGACTGGCTTAATTCACTCAGCATGATGTTCTCCAGATCCCTCCATTTTGTTGCAAATGACCAGATTTCATTGTTTTTGACTGCTGTATAGTATTCTATAGAGTACATGTCCCATAATTTCTTTATCCAGTCTACTGTTGATGGGCATTTGTGTTAATTCCAGGTCTTAGCAATTGTGAATTGAGCTGCAATAAACATTAATGTGCAGACCACATTTTTGTTTGCCAATTTAATTTCCTTTGGGTAAATCACAAGGAGTGGGATTGCTGAGTCATGTGGTAGGGTTATATTCAGGTTTCTGAGGAATCTCCAGACTGACTTCCATAGTGGCTTAACCAGTTTGCACTCCCACCAACAGTGGGTTAGTGTCCCTTTTTCCCCACATCCTCACCAGCATCTGTTGTTGATAGATTTCTGAATGTGAGCCATTCTAACCGGGGTGAGGTGAACCTCATTGTGGTTTTGATTTGCATTTTTCTGATTGCTAGTGATCCTGGACATTTTTTCATGTGTCTGTTGGCCATTTGGATTTCCTCTTTTGAAAAATGTCTATTGAGGTCCTTGCCCCATCTCTTAAGTGGGATGTTTGTTTTCATGTTGTGGAATTTCTTGATCTCTTTGTAGATTCTGGTTAGTGATAGGTCTAAGACTCAAAGGGATCACATAAACAAGACTAGTGTCTGCTAATACTAACTGATAGAATTAAGAAGGAGAGAACGATCCAACATGGGAAGCAGGATACACAGCAGACTCATAGAATGGCAGATGTCCTAAACAGCACTCTGGCCTCAGAATCAGCCCTTAAGGCATTCGGATCTGGCTGAAGAGCCCATGAGAGTATTTTAGGCATGGAAAGCCAAGACACTCTGGCAAAAAAAAAAAGAGGACCTAATGAAAGATCTCTGCGAGTGAGATCCCAATAGAAAGAATGGGCCATCAAAGAAGGAGGTGCCTTTCTCTGAAGGGAGGAGAGAACTTCCACTTTGACTATGACCTTTTCTAAATAAGATCAAAGTCAGCCAACTCAAAAGGCTTCCATAGCCTTGGCAACTCATGACAAGAGCCTAGGGAGATTACTGACGCCATAAACAAGAGTGCCAAATTGTTAAGTCAACAACAGGGGTCACTGTGCACTTACTCCCCATGTAGGATCTCCATCCTTATTGTGTAGTTCAATGTTAATTAATGCTATAGCTAGTACGGAAACAGTATTTTACACTTTATGTTCTGTGTGGGTGCAAACTGATGAAATCTTTACTTAATATATACTAAATTGATCTTCTGTATATAAAGATAATTGAAAATGAATCTTGATGTGAATGGAATTGGAGAGGGAGTGGTAGATGGGAGGGTTGTGGGTGGGAGGGAAGTTATGGGGGGGAGGAGCCATTATAATCCATAAACTGTACTTTGGAAATTTATATTTACTAAATAAATGTTAATTTTTTTATTTTTTATTCATCTTACTTTGGACCAGTCATATTCCCGGTGGTCAGCGGGTATATGTGGCTTATGAAAAGGCAATGTGGGGTGAGGGAACAGACTCAGATTCCTTATTATTTTATTTTAAGATTTATGTATTTATTTGAGAGGGAGAGTTACAGAGAGTTAGAGCAAGAGGTCTTCCAACTGCTAGTTCACTGCCCAAATGGCTGCAATGGCCGGAGTTGCACCAGTCTGAAGCCAGGAGCCAGGAGCTTCTTCCTGGTCTCCCACATGGGTGTAGGGGCCCAAGGACTTGGGCCATCTTCTATTGCTTTCCCAGGCCATAGCAGAGAGCTGGATCAGAAGTGGAGCAGCTGGGACTTGAACCAGTGCCCATATGGGATGCTGGCACTGCAGGGAGAGGCTTAGCCCACTATACCACGGTGCTGGCTTCTGGCCTCTCAGATTCCTTTTCATGACACCATCTTTCAAGATTGGCTCAGACCCTTCCCCAAGCCCTGTTTCCTGTGCACAATCCACCGCCCCACACTCCTCACCTTGTTTCTGCCTACTTAAGCTGATGGCAACTGATCAAACACCGATTCCCTTGGTGGCCTTCCAACTTCCGCCCAACTGCTTACTTGGAGGAAGGACTTGGTGGCCCTTGGCAGCCACTGACACAGGATTCCACCATTCTTTCAACCCTCACCTCTTGGGCAAGACCCCCAGAGGGAGCAATGATTGGCTTTCTCTGGTGTGCCAACAGCACGTCTTCCTACCTTGATTTAGCCCCTCCACCACACCTCTACTTCTGTCTAGGAAGACTACACACACACACACACCCTTTTGATTGATAGACAAGTTTGAAACAGGTCAATGCAGAGAACTTTCTGAACCTGTAATGGAGGGAGAAGGTGTCAGGAGAGGGGTTCCCAGATTGCTAGGGTCCACTCACTAGCAAAGACCCCTCCAGGTGCCCACAGGGCCTGAACAGACCAAAGAAGGGCATGGGGGTACTGAGAGTTCCCGCTGTTACCTGGAGGGGCCAGGCAGAGGGTTCCTGGCTCCCGGGCCCAGGTTAGGAAGATGGAGATGAGGCCCACCTGGAAGCCCCTCCTGGTACCCCCATCTGCGCACTTGCCCCTGGGATTGTGTGTACCTGCTGCTGCCCTGCCTGCCATGGCCCCGAAACCCTGCTTCCCTCTTCCCCCGTGGACACTGGGGCTTTTCTTGTGTGTTGACTGTGTCTGGACCCTGGGAAAAACCCATCTGGAGAAAAACAGATCAACAGTCCTAGATTTTTCTGATGAAAACAGCTTTGGTTACTTTGGTTAAAGGTGGTGAATTTTTATAAATGATTGAGACTATATTAGATATAATTACAGACAATAGCTTTAAAAAATCAATACATCTTTTGCATTTTGGCCATGTCTTTTTTTTAAAGATTTATTTATTTACTTGAAAGGCAGAGGTCCAGAGAGGCAGAGGCAGAGAGAGAGAGAGAGAGAGAGAGAGTCTTCCATTCACTGGTTCACTCCCCAATTGGCCGCAATGGCCACTGCTGAGCTGATCTGAAGCCAGGAGCCTGGAGCGTCTTCTGGGTCTCCCATGTGGGTGCAGGGGCCTGAGGACTTGGCCCATTTCCTTCTTCCTTCCTCCCTTTCTCTCTCTCTCTCTCTCTCTCTAGATTTGACTAACTTGGTTTTTAATGACTTACAAAGGCTTTAGGTAGAATTAGTTCTCTTTGAATACAGTACCTTTTAAAAATTACCTCAACTCAAAGCTTAATATTCCCAAAGTTTAAAATAACCTAGTGTACGATCCAAATTAAAATAAGCTGACCCCACACTGCAAACATACGTGCTTCTCTGCAAATCAGT